CTGCAGCCCCAGGCCCCCCACCTCTCCACCCCTCCCACTTCTGCTGCCCCCCTCCCCCCCAGGCCTGGCCTGCTGGCCTCATGGCCCTCACGTTGCTCTGCTGGTCATGGCTCTCCTTGAAGACGAATCGGGTCCCACTCTTGCTGCCCAGTTCTAACCACTTCCCTTTGAACCATTTGATGACGGGCTTTCCAGGGAGCTCCTTCCCATTCACCTTGGCCGTGATCACCACGTCCTTCCCTGGGGACCAGGGGACAGGAAGTCTAAGGCCTTCACACCCTGCCAGGTCCCTGGAACCCAGGGACCCGGGGCTCATCCTGGCTTGGGGGTCCGGGCACCTGCGACACCCAGGTATCTAAGCTGCATCTTCCTCTAAGGCCCCGGGCGTCTGGCTCCCAGGCAGCTCACCCTGGGTGGTGAGCCCCTGTACCTCTCTGGGGCACCCAGGCATCCCGCCCCTCAGCCTCTCTGCAACCCAAGCATGGGGGTACCTCGACATCCCATTCCCCAGCCTCTCCCCGGAGCTTAGCCTCAGCCTTCCTTACCTGCCTCTATAGACACAGTGTCGGGTTTCTTCAGGAAGATCCCAGCGGGCTCCTCGGCAGCGGGTGACTGGTCCTCAGGGGGCGGCTCTAGGTTATAAACGGGCCTTTCACTCTGTGAGTCAGGGGCTTAGCCGGAGAGCCGCAAGGTTACTTTATTTGAGGTGATTCCTGAGACCTGAGCACTGAGGGCGCACTTCCCCCAACCCCCCTCCCCACAGCCAGGTAGTCTGTTAATTACGTTAAGTGGCTCCTCTGTGCGGTGCAAGCCACTGTGCTAAGGGCAGGAGATGCAAAGAGGCAAAAGACAGTCCCTGCCCTCAAGGAGTTTACAAGCCCTGACCCACTCTGTGCCTCAGTTTCCTCCTCTGCAGAGTGAGAGGGTGGACAAATCCCTGACCCTCGCTGAGCCTGATTTTTCCCTTCTGTGGAATAATGTCCCTAACCTCTGAACCTCAGTTTCCCCGCCTGCAAAATGAGGAGGGTTGGGTTGAAACCATAGAATGTTGGGGTGGAAGGGAGGATAAGGAACCAATTTCCCTCCGATTCTACACCTGGGGAACCTGAGGGCCAGAGGGCACTGGGGTCATGCTCACGGTCACAAAGCCAGGCAGAGTCAGCGTTTCTCCCTAGTTCTCTGACCCCCCAGTTTCCAACATTTATTAGGCGCTTATGAATCAATCAGTCAGCAAGCACTAGCTCGGTGCCTGACACATAGAAGGCTCTTAATAAAGGTTTATTGATTGATACAAAGACAAAAAGTGACCCAGGGAAGACCACAGGTTTACATACAGGATGGTATGAATGCACACGAGGTGGATACAAGGTAGCTCTGAGGCTACAAACACAACAATGGCTCCACCCAGCCTCCAGGAAGCTTTCCTCTGCTTGGCTGGGGGGAGGGGAATGGGCATTACGACTCGGGACCTCAGTGGCCATCGACCCCCCATACAGAAGACCCTCCAGTTACGGGGAGCTCACTACCTCTCGTGGCAGCCCAGCTCCTTCTTGGTTATCTCTAATTGTTAAGAAGTTATTCCTGACTTCAAGCCTGAATTGGCCTCTTGGCAACTTCCCCCCATGGTTCCTTCTGCCTTAATCATCGGATCATGGAGTACTTTGCTAATAATTACCGCAGAACTTAGTACATAATTAGGCATCAAATCAGTGGCAGACAGCTAGAGATGAAGGAGGGATGGAGGGGGAGGGGGACTGCAGGACTGGAGGAGGAGGGCTGGGAGAGGCTGGAAAGCAGGAGAACTAGGGGAGGGGAGAAAGACCGGGGGAGGGGAAATGGACGGAAGAGGAACAGGGAGACTGGAAGGAGAGGAGGACAGGGGAGAGGGACTGGGGGAAGGGGACTGGGAGAGAAGAAGGAGAAAGGGACCAAGAGGGAGAACAGAAGGGAGAGGGGACTGGGAGGAAAGGAAGGGGGTGGGGATTAGGAGGCTTCCTGGAGCAGAAGGTGGGAAGGCAGGACAGTGCTTGGTATCCAGTGAGCCTCTCTTGGACAGAGCCCCAGGGCTCACTGGCTACCCCGAGGCCTCTCTTATTCCATCCTGGGACTCAGGAGCTTAGTGGAGTGCTTGGCAGGGGCACGGACTTCCCAATCAAAGTGGGCAACCAGTAGCCTTTTGATACCAGGACTGGTTTTTCACCTCCCTAACCAGTCACCTCCCTCCACATCCACCCAGGTCTGCCTGATCTCTTCAGAATTTGGTGCAGGCAAGGGGGAGGCAGGGAGGCCAGAGATCAAAGATCTGGGGGCTGGGGACAAGAGGGGTCATACATACAGGAAATGGGGTATAGAAATCTATCCTGTCCTACAGGAAAATAGAAGGGGAAGGGGATAAGACAAGGGGGGAGGAATAGAAGGGAGAGCAGATTAGAGGAAGGGGTATTCAGAATGCATGCCATCATGGGGTGGGGAGAGGGGAGAGATGGGGAGAAATTTGGAATTCAAAATCTTATGGAAATGAATGTTGAAAACTAAAAATAAATAAATTAATTTTAAAAAAGAGGGATCATGGAATCAGAATGTCCTCGATTTAGAGCCAGAAGAGACCTCAGTAGTCACAAAGTCCAACCCCCGGGTTTTACAGATGAGGAAAGTGAGACCCAGACAGATACTCAGAGCCACAGCTAGCAAATATCTGGGGCAGGCTTAGGATCCGGGTTTTCTATAGGTTAGATGGAGTCTGGAACAATTTGGTTTCCAAAGGTCTGGGTGCCTCAGGAGCAGGAAGAAAAACTGGGAACGGGGGTCGCCCAAAGTTTGGGGGACTCAGAGAAAGGAGGCTCAGAGGTTTGAAAGGCTCAGAGACAAGAAAGGGAGCCAGAGGGAGTGTGGGGAAAGGAAGGGGAGGACTCGGGGAACAGACACTCGACGGTGTAGATGGCTTTGGAATCAATAGGTTAGAGAGCAGACACAGTTCCTGGGCCATGGTCTCGGTGCTCCAGATGAGAGGGGAGCCGTGTCTGCGGACATCTCGGGGCCAGAGTGGGGGCTGGGGCTGGGCCAGGGGTGTCTCACCACTGGGTGGGGCAGGCGCAGCCTCCTTCTCAGGGCCAGGCTTTTGGGGGGCATCCTTAGCTTTGGCAGCGGGCTTCTTGGTGGCTGTGAGGGGAAAGAGGCGGAGGAGGGTCACAGAATCAGGGAGCCCAGGAGTCCTGATCCCCTGGCTCTCGTCCACTCCAGGACCCAGGGGTGCTGAGCACAGCCCCTGCCCTTCAGATGTCCCTCAGCACCCAATCCTGGCTGGCCCTCCAGACACCTGCTTTCCCTCACTTCCTCCCCCTGGACAGAATCTTACCATTCTCCAGGGACAGAGGGCAGGGCCAGCAGGACCAGGGAGGATCCCCCCAAATAAAGCCTCTGCTCCTTCCTCACCCCCGCCCAAGTCCAGGCCAACTGGTCTTGACCTTTTCCAGATGGGCTGGCCTGGAGTATAATTAGCTTGATCCGGGGTCAGGTAACTGGACACCCATGTGCTGAGCTCAGCACCGAGCACCCAGTACTCAGGACCCTCCCAGCACCCTGCTGGGAACCCCTTCTCCCACTGAGTGCAAGGGGGCTCCCTCTCCCCAACGAGGGGGCCCTTTCCTACATACAAGGGGCTCCCTCCTCCTACCAGGGACAGGGGCTCTTTTCCCTACCTTCTTACACAAGGGGGCTCCCTCCCCCCATCCTGGGAAGGGGCCCTTCCCATGCCAAAGGTTCCCTCCTCATTCTAGCTGGAGGGGTCTCTTTCCTTTGGATCCTGCTTTTTCCAGTCCTTAGCCTCCAAGCTCCCGTAATCCCCCACTCCTTTTCTCTGCCCCGATCATCTACCTCTCCCAGGCCAGGGTTGTCCTCCCCATGCCCCCTCCAACCTTGGGACTCCTGGCACTGACAGGGAGCACACCCCTTCCAGCCTCCCTTTGAGGAAGAGGTTAGGGATGAGGGGTTGCGGGTCCCCACCTGGTTTGGGCTCCGGCATCTTAACCTGTGGCCAGTCGGGAACCTTCCTGAGACAACAGGGCCTAGGATGGGTGGCAGGGTGGGGTTTTAAGGAGGCTGGAGGCTCCCCGGAGACACCTGACTCAGCTCCCACTCCCCACCCCCTTCGAATTCCCCAGGAGTTCTCTAAAGGGCGAGAAATAACTGCTGGGGGTGGGGGGGAAGATACATGCCTGGCTCCTGGTGGAGGCCAGGGCAACAAGATTCTGGTCTCTAAGGCAAGGGGAGGGGGAGAGGGGAGGGTTGTGAGGGTCAGGACACCTGGGTCTCAGTGGGAGGCCACAGGCAGGGCTGGGGAAGGGGTCACCTGGGTCCCTACTGTTTGGGAGCTGTGGAAGCAGGTTATCTTGGTATAGGGGGTAGGGCTGGGATATCAGGACAACTGAGTCCTTGAGGGAGACAGGATTTAGGGTATCAGACCTCTGGCACTCTTTTGGGATAGGGTAGGGCTGGGGGCCCAGCCACCTAGATTTCTGCAAGTCAGGCATCTTCAGAGAAATTGGACCCCCTGGGGAAACCAAAGCCAAGTCTCCAGGGTCAGTAGGGAGGGCCAGGTTTCTTGAAGTGGGCACCAAGCCCCAGGTTAGCGTTGAGGGCTGGCTTGCGCCAGGGCAGCCAGCATCCCAGGGACCCCTCTTTGCCTAGTGGTGACCTGCTTTCTCCAGCTGGGGTGTGGAGAACTTCCTTTCACCGCTGGGGGCCCCACCCCAGAGAAATTTTATCCCAGCCCAGCTGCTGTGGCCAGGCCACCTGGCCTAGGCTGCCCCACCCCCAGGGTCCCCAAGTTTCTACGGTCCTCGCCCCCAGCTCCCCAAGGAAGGAGGGAGCCCTGGAGGAAGTGGGAAAGAGAAGAGCAGGGCCCGGAAGGGCTGGGGAGCCCAGGATGCATGGGTCCCTTCCTGAGCTGGAGCCTGGGGTAGAGGGTTTGAGGAGCCAGCACTAACTCTGGCCCTGCGTCACCAAAACCAAAGCAAACCCCCTTGTAACCTTAACAGGGCTGGCTCGGTGTTTGGCCAATCCAAAATGGAATATCTGGTGACATCATCAGTCTCTGGTCAGACTCTCTCCTGCGGGGACAGGGGAGCAAGGTATTGTGAGACCAGCGGGAGTGCAGGATGGGAGGGGAGATAAAGTCATGGCAGGGAGTCTGAGAAGCCTAGGAAGAACGGAAGACACTGATCCAGACCCCCAGGGAGCCTCTGAGAGAACCGGAGAGAAAGAGACTGCTGGGGGAGGGATAGAGGGAGGGAGGAGGGGGGAGAGAGAAGGGGGAGGGAGAGAGGAAAGAGGAAGAGAGAGAGACTGTTAGAGAGGAGGAGGAGGGAGGAGGAGGGGGGAGAGAAGCAGACACGGAGGAGTGGGGGGGAGGGGCAGAGCCAGCCAGACCAGGGTCAGACTGCTAGGGAACCACCAGAGAAAGAGAGAAACAGAGACAGAGATGATGGAAGGGACAGAGTAATGGGGAGGAGGAAAGAGAAGCATCAATAGGTGAGAGCAGAAGCATTGGGGAAGCTGGATGGTGCAGCTGACAGAGTGCTGGGTCTGTTGTCAGAGAGACCTGAGTTCAAATCTAGCCTCAGACACTTATTAGCTGTGTGACTCTGGACAAGTCACTTAGCCCAGTTTGCCTCGGTTTCCTCACCTGTAAAATGAGTTAGAGAAGGAAATGGCAAACCACTCCAGTATCTTTGCCAAGAAAACCCCAAATGAGGTCATGAAGAGTCAGATGCGGCTGAACAAGAATGCAAAACAAGTGTGTGTGGGAGTATCCTGAGGTGCACGGCCCCAACTGAGCACTGGGGGTGGGCACGGGAGAAGCTCAGAAATTCCATGGCATTTGCTTGGGTTGATACAGTGCCGGCAATTTCCAAAAGGAATACCCCATGTTGGCGTGTGTTCATCTTTTATTTGCAGAATTCATTACTTTGTAAGGTGAGACATGACCCCGAGGTCCCTGGCAGGAAGGGGCAGGGAGCTTGGTTTCTTGGTGGGGAGGGATGGACTCCGCTTTGGAGGTCAGGGGCCCAGCCTAAGTCTTCCTGGCTTCCCTGCAATGGACTCTGAGGCCAGGCTCTCCTAAGCCCAAAGGATTCTGGGCCCCTCTGTACACCCCTGACCCATCCCCTCTCCAGGTGACAGGTAGGGAGGAGACCTAGGGGGCACTGAGGGAGAATGGCCCCGGAACCAGCTGAGGAGGATTGTGGGGAACCACCCCACCTCAGAGAAAGCTCCAGTGGGCAGGGGTCCCAGGGCCTCAGACTTGGAAGGACTCCCAGAGGCCCAGATGACAATAAACCCCATCGTCCAGGGAAAGGGCACTCAGTACTTCAGAGGGCGCCCGTACCACTTTGGGAATCCCCAGAACCCTTCAGATCCCAGTATACAACCTCCAAGCCAGACAGAACCTTGGGGGTCATCTGGTCAAACTCCCTCAGGGAGAAACTGAGGCCCAGAAGGGACAACACACTCAAGATTGCACAATGAGTCAGGGCCAGGTCTGAAATGTCACCGAAGGAAAAAGCCAGAGAGACCTTAGGGATCATTCCGGGGGAAACCCCCTCTTTTTACACATGGGGGAACTGAGGCACGGCCAAGGTCACACAGCTTAGAGAGAGACAAGGGCCAGAGTAGGTTACCCAGGCAGCCATTGAGGGGGCCAGGATCTGAAACCAGGTTTTGACCAGAGCCTGGGACCCTTGGTCCCACATTTCTCTCCCTCTTTTCCAGTGCTATATGGTTCCCCCCAGTCCAAAATCTATGTCTGAGCCCTCGGCAGACCCTTGGCTGTGCTGATGCCTTTGATTTCCCTAGGCCTGGTGACTTAGTCCGGAGCTCTGGTGGAGAGGGGGTCACCCAGGCAGGGCAGCACGGTCCGAGCCGGCATCCGCTCAGGCGGGAAGGGGCCTGGACCACTGGGCCCTTAGCAGTTGGAGGCTGCAGTCCCTTGTGTTTACAGCTAAGGACTCGAGGCCCATCTCCCCCAAAGTCACAGGGCATGTCGGGGCTGGATCCTCCTGACCCCCGGCCCGGGTCAGGAAAAGGGGCAAGGGCTACAGACTGCCAGGGGACCCATTCCCAAGAAGCTAGCGCTGGAATCATCCTAGGCCAGGGATGCCTGAGGCCCTAAGACAGCCCCAGACAGGGTGTGCCTTCTGATGGGGAGCCTTCACAGGCTCTGAACTCGGAGGGACAGGGCACCCCAAGGCACTCTTGGCGACAGCAGGGGGATCTCTGAGACGCCTCGGGGCCCGAGACAGCCGTCCCCCCGCGGCCGGGGCCCTCACGCCCGCCGGGGGGTCAGCAGGGTGCTGTCAAACTGGTACGTGAGTTTCCTCTTGACCTTGCGGATCTCTCCGGTCTTGGCGTAGTTGCGGAGGGCCCGGGCCAGTTTCTGGTAGGTCATCCGCTTGCGGTTGCCTTTCTGCTGGCCCCAGCGCCTGGCCAGGGCCTCCTTGTGCTTGGACGAGAACTGGAAGACGCCGGCCCCGGGTTCTACCCACCACACGCACTCCCGCATGTCCCCGCGGGTCAGCAGCCCCAGCAAGAACTGGTAGAGACGGAGCTTCTTCCGGGCACCTGGAGGGGCAGAGCAGGCCGGCGTCAGGCCGGGAGGCCCCCTTGGGCATCCTCTGGGGACACCCACCCTCCAGAAATCAGTCGGTCAGCCAATAAGCGAAGGCGCGATTAGTGGCTGCTGCCGGGGACAGGAAGCACCGGGGACTTCCTCCAATCAGCTTTTGCAGACAGATTCTGTACGTGGAAACCTTGGAGCAAGACACGGGGCAGGGGTACTGAGACTTGGGGCAGCTTGGGGGAAAGCAGTGAGCTCCCCATCCACAGAGGTCTTCAAGGCTGGGTGACCACTGAGGGCCATATGCTGCAGCAGAGCGCATTCCTGGTCAGCCAGAGGAGGGGCCAGATGGCTTTGGAGCCCCCTTCCACTTCTGAGACTGCGATACCCACTTGGAGCAGGTGCTCCCTAGGGACAGCACTCTCCCATCGGACTCAGGGCTGTCTCCCCTTCCCAGACCAGGGGCTCCCCAGGCCAGGTGACTTTACTGGCCGCCGCCCCCCCATCATACCTGCATCGGCTCCTGTCCCTTCCCCTCCAGCTGCCGGGACCTCATCCGACTCACTGTCAGACACCTCCAGGGCTGGGCTATCCCCTGGGAACTCCTCGTCCTCAGATAAGCCAGGACTGGGGAACTGGGTAAATGAGGCCAGGGGCTGGAGCAGGGAGGGGGTGGTCAGAGCTTGTGGTCCACGGCTCACCTTCCCTCCTCTCTAAGCTGGACTCCCCGAACCTACCCGGGTCTCTCAGTCTTCTAACCCTCTATCACAGAGCTGGAAGGGACCTTGGAAATCACCTGATCCAACCTTCTCCCCATCATTTTGTGACTCAGACAAAGAAGTGATTTGTCCGGCCCCAGGTTTGCCAGCCCCAGGTCTGCCAGCTCCAGACTTGCCTTTGTCTCACAACATGCTGACCTCAGCCCTACACGCTTCCTCCCCGGCTCATTCCCCCTCACCTGGCCTCCAAAATCCTCCTCCGGGTAGGTGCTGAGCCCTGGGCCCGGGGCCGGCTCCAGCTGCCCAATGGGGCCATAGCTGACAGGCAGGTAGGAGAGTTGAAGACCCTGGAGTTGGCCAAGTGAGGCTGCCGAGGGGTCGAAGGGCTCATAGGCAGTGGCCAGGCTGGGCGGTGGCTCTGTCCAGCCCCACAGGGAGTCTGGGGAAGGCAGGAGAGGGCGCCCTGAGACTCAGCCCCCTGGCCCAAAGGGGCAATTGTGGGAAGGAAAGGAAGGTCATCTTTGGCCCGCGCATTTGCACGCATGGGGAAGGGAGCAGCTTAACAGGAGAGACCTGATGAGGATGGAACGGAGGGAGGAGGGCGGGGGAGGAAATGGGAATCCAGAGGCACGGAGCCTGGCAGGGGGACGGATGGGTGGGGAGAGGGGGACGGATGGCTGTAGGAAGAGGTGAGCAGAATAGGGGTACGGGGAGGGGACAAAGGGCATTCGGGTGGGGGCCGAGAATGGGAGAGAAAGCTGGAGGAGTTAAGACCCACTGAGAAGGTAAATGGCTAGTGCCCCCCGGGCAGTGGGAGGGCACAGAGAGGGGAAGCATGTACTTACCCACCATGCCTTCGGGGTCCACGTAGCCGGGGTGTTTGCTGCTGTCCAGATCGTAGAAGACTCCATCTGAGTACTGAGGAGAGGCACCAGGAGCGTGGTCGTGACGGGAACGTCCCACCGGCCAGAGAGTCAAAGGAGAGAGAAACGGGACAGTGACAGACAGAGAAACAGACAAAGTGGGGCGGAGACTGACTGAAGAAATAAATAGATCGGTTGGGGAAACAGGAGAGTGGGGAAGGGGGACGTGAAGAGAGAGAAGCGATGGGGTAGACAGGGAGAGACAGAAGAAAGGGGGAGACGAGAGGGACAGGTAACAGACGAGATCGATCAATCGATCAGTGGAAAGTGTGTGTGGAAGAAAGAGCCCTCCTTCTGGAAAAAGGATGCTGGGACACTGGGTAACGGCAAGGCAGAACTTACCTGGCAAGAAAAGTGCGAATCCTCCAACCTGGGGAGAGGAGAAAAAGATAGAATGGGGAGAGGTGGTGTCACCCCCTGCTCTGGGTGCCTGGGCCTGGCACTCACCCAGACCCTGGAGCCTCCAGGTCTGGTCCTGAGCCCCTCCCCTCCCCTGAGTGTCTGTGCCCCTGCACTGGGCTTTCTCCTTCCCCTGCATTCTGTACTGTCCCACGCTCCAGACTCTGGGTCCCCCACGCTCCCACCTTGTTCTTCTTCTGTCCTTTGCTTTGTCTTGGGCCTCTTCCTTGCCCTGCACCCCTCCCCCACATCCCTGCGCCCCTCACTCTCCATGCCCCCCGGTGTCCCTGCCCCACGTCCCTGCCCCACCCCCACTCTCCTTGGCCCCCCCCATGCCCCTCACTCTCCATGCCCCCGGTGCCCCTCCCCCACATCCCTGTGCCCCCCACTCTCCATGCCCCCCCTGCGGCCCTCATTCTCCATGGTCTCCCTGCATCCCTCCCCCATGTCCCTGCACCCCTCACTCTCCATGGCCCCCCTGTGCCCCTCACGAATTTGTATCCTTTCATCTCACCTATCTCTTATTCTACATCCCTCCCTCTCCATCTGTCTCCTGTGTCCCTCAATGCCCCCGTGCCTCCCACTCCCTCCGTGCATCTCACTTTTTAAGTCTCTTGTTCTTCTCCAGGTGCCCCTGCCTGCCTGTGTCTCGTGCCCCTCCCTGACTCCCATCTCCCAATCCTCTCCAAATTCGAGCTCACCAAACAGAACTTCGTGGGCTCCCGGTTTATTTTTTTTTTTTGAGAGAGGACGAAGGAACTTTGGGCATGTGGGGTAGGTAGAGGCTGACCCCAGGCTGTACATAGAGGGGTGTGAGTCAAAGTCCTGCCCTCCCCCACCCCCAAGGCCCAGTCAGGGACAGGGCTTAGAACAGGAAGGGGGCATGGGGAGGCCTGCACGGAAATATCCCTGGGGAGATTTGCATGGGCAGGCTGAGGTGGTGAGAGTGTTTGTGGAGTGGGGGGTGGGGGGGGTTAGTGAAAGTGGGAGAGAAAGTGGAGGGTTTTTGAGGGAACTGGCCCCAGCCATGGGACAGTGATGGGTCCAAACAGACCTAGAGGGGAGAGCCTGGGAAAGGGATGGAGACGGTGACTGGAAGCAAGAGACAGCGACCCGGGCAGGGGTGAAAGCAGACAGATGGGGGAGAGGCGGAAGAGACGAGGGAGATGTGGAGGGATGACAGAGATGAAAGAAGCAGAGACGGGGAAAAGAGAGAGACAGGAGGGGGCAGAAGGAAGGCACAAGAGGGAGGACAGAGAGAGATGAAGAGAAGCAGAGACACATGGAGAGACAGCGGGGAGTAGAGACCTCGCCTATGCACTCGGAGCCCTGGGGGGTCCTCACTTACTGTGCAGCCTCCAGCGTGAGCATGGTGGGGCAGAGCTCTGGGGATGGCACAGGGTCTGGGCTGCGTCCTGGCATTGCCATCACCTTATAGCCAGGGAGGGGAGGGGCGGGGCCCAGTGACCTCATCGAAAATCCCCTCAGGGGGGGCCCTGGAGATGGGGGATTGCTCAACGAGTCATGTGACTGGGGATGGGAGGGGAGAGCAGGGCACCCGTACCACCAGGTCTCTAGGGTGGCAGGGTTCCTTGGTGCCTGAGGAGGGCCGGGGGCTGCAGAACACTTGGATTTAGAGAGGGGGGTTGGGGTAAAGCAGATACCTGGTTCCCTGGGGGAGGGGAGGTGCCCTAGTCCTGAGGGTTAAGACTGGATGCCTGGGTTCCAGATGTCCTAGGTGCCAGATACCTGGGGCTTCAAAGGGGGTGGGATTACTAGGTTGGATACCTGAATTTTGTCCCTGACTTGAGGGTGGGGAAAGCTGGGACTGGCTTGTGACCCCAAGAAAGGCGGTGTGCCACACATGCATTGACCAGCTGATCTTGGGGTCCTGGGCCCGGGACCCAACCTGCCACTTCCTCAGAAGGGGAAATACCTGAATCTCCAAGAAACGGACCTGAGGTCCTGTTAGGCACTGGAGACCCCAAGGGCAGGAGTCCTCAGAGGTGGCGTGACTTAGGAAATCGGGATATTAGGTACGGGAGGGGTGAAAATGGAGCATGAGAAGCAAAGGAAGGCTTGGAGATCTCATGGGCCAACCCCATTTCACAGACAAGCAACCTGAGGCCTTGCAAAAACCAAGGGCTGTCCCAAGGTAGTCATCATACACGGAGTCTCCCAAAGCTCAGGTGAAAGGGGGCTTTGGGCTCACAGGGTGTGAGAGGTGGCGAGAGTTGGACTGGAGCTCTGAAAGCCCACCCAGCTCCAGGTCGGATTCTTTGACGCCCTCTAGCCCAGAGCTCAGCTTCACCTCACAGGGGACACGAGCCTTCTTGTGGTCTAGTCGGGTCTGACTCCTCATCACCCCATTGGGGTTTTCTTGGCAAAGACGCCGGGGTGATTTGTCATGTCTTTCTCCAGCTCATTTTACAGATGAGGAAACTGAGGCAAACGGGGTGAAGTGACTTGCCCAGGGTCACTCAGCTAGTCTGAGGTGGGATTTGAGCTGGGGAAGACGCATCTTCCTGACTCCAGGCCTGGCGCTATGTGTGTTGCGCCAGGCTCACCAAGCACTTCACTCAAAACCAGGCACAGGATGGGGAACATCATCCCCATTTCACAGATGGCAAATCGGGGCTCTTCCAAGGCCACCAAGCCTTGCCTCCCTCTGGCTGGTGAAGGAGTGGATGGGCATCGCTACCCTGGCTGGGCCAATGGCGTCTGCTTCCGGCCTCCGCAGGCTGATTCTCTGCCCAGGGCTTGAGGGATCCTGGCACCCCAATCTCCCACAGCTACTTAGGCCGGGCCTTCGAGTTACGCAACTTGTGTGCTTCAGTTTCCCAGTCTGTAAAATAGGGACAAACCCACCTCCTGGGGCTGTCGGGAGGATCAGATGAGATGCTCATAAAGGCGCCCTCTGAACATCGTCACTGTCTCGTTGGACGAGAAGCACGTTGGCCCAGCGGAGCGAACGTGCCGGGTGTGGAGCCGGAGAACCCGGGCTTGGTCACTCACTGCCCCTTCACCCCCAGAACCCCTTCTAGCTGTCAGCCCTGAGGCCGAGGAAGCCGCTGCGGCCCGGCCCCTCCAGGGATTCCGACTCTCCCGGTGTGGGAGGGTCGGGCGCTAAATCTGGCCACCCCAAGAACTCCACCAGACAGAAGCCGAGGGCCTCAGCCCGGTCGTGACAACGGCGGAGATGAGCGGGGCTCGACTCCAGGTCCCCTCCTCTGCGGATTGGGGTTCACAGCACTCCCACAGGCCGCCCTGAAGAGCCCCTACCAACACCCCTAGCGGAGGGGAGAGGGTGGGGCCGGGGCTCCCCTGCCCCCTAAGATGAGACAGCAGGCGCTGTGAGTGCCATCTACCAGCCCCTCGGCACAACGCCCCAGCCCCCCATCCTGTTTATGTCTGTAGAACACACCTCACAGGGGCTCGTCAGCCTCTGCTTGGAGCCCTCTATCGACAGGGAGCTCACTACCTCCAGAGACAGCCCACTTCACATGTGGACTAAAATCCCTGCCATCCCGCCGACACCCGCCTCCCCTGGGGGGCGAGAGGGGGTGCGGTGGCCAGCAGGATTCCTCCTTCTACCCTCCCAAAGAACAAGACCAGGGGAACCCAAAGCCCCACAGCTTTATTGATGCCAACGTCCACAGCCGCGTCCTCTGTCACCAGGTGGCCGGGCCCGGGGGCCCGAATCGAGCCAGGAGCTGCTCCTGGTCGTCCAGATCCTTCTGTACCTTCTTCCGCATGTAGAAGATGGGACAATCTCGGCTGCACAGGGGAGCAGGAGGAGGTGCCGTTAGCCCAGGGGCCCGGCCGCCCTGACCCCATCGGGCCCTCAGCACCTGGCCTCCCTGCCCCTGCTCTCTGGGGGACCCAGCTGTCCAGGCCCCCAGCCACTATTCCCACGGGGGACTGGGGCATCCTTGGCAGCTGCCCCCCTCCCTCCTCGTGGGGGTCCACTCTCCACCCCACTGAACGTCCAGATGTCCCCACGCCCAAGCCCGGCTCGAGCCCTTTCTGAGGGCAGCCGGGAGGGGCCTGGCCGGTGAGCCCCTCATCTCGGGCCACGCCTCCCAGCAGCGGCCCTCCACCACCCAGGCTGCCCCCAGGCCGCAGACCCCGGCAGCTGGTCTCTTCTGCCCAGCCCCAGAAGGGAGCACTCGGGGGTCCACCCCCCTTTCCAAGCGGCCGGCGACGGGCCCGAGATTGTGGATGCTGCAGGCTGGGGGGTGGGTAACGGTCCCCAGGCTTCCTCCTCACCTGTTCCCAGGACTTTGGCCTCTCTCTAGCCTCTAGCCCCCACCCTGCCTGGCCGTCTCCACCCGGGAGCCAGGTTGTTTGTTTGGCGGGGCCTGGCGGGTGGCGATAAGGCCAGGGTGGGGAGGGAGGAGGTGGCCTGGCGTATATCACCTGTCCCGGTCCTCGTCCTGGCCCTGGCGTGGGAACCTGGCTCGCCCGGCCTTTCCCTAGGGAAAGCCCAGCCCCACCTAGCCAGGATGAGGGAGGGGGACAGAAGGAGATGGGGGGAGGAGGATGGAGACGGACAGTCTGGGGGGAGGCGGAACAGAGGAGCAGAGACCATCACGGGGGTCAGGGAGGCCTATCCTAAGAAATTCC